TCTGCGGTATGAGTCGGAGGCTCGTGAGTGGATGCGCTGTGAATGTGTATGTACCGAGGTGCGGCGTAAAGTGCGTTGGTAGCAGCCGAGACTCGCAAACGGGTACCAAAGTTGTAGTTATCTGAGCAAACGTGATTTCAGATCACCGATTGCTTTAAGATTGCAAACGAGAGCGCGTTAGCGGTATGAGCGAGTTTACGGACAGTGTATTGAACAGTGTTCTGTCAAGTTCAAGTGAGGTCGCCATGTTTCGGACGAGCCTCGGCGAATAGCGAATCACCGAAAGGCCAAGGACCCGCGCTGACCCCTTGATGCCTTTCACTCTCGCGACCCACAAGTTCGCGCCTTCTCCATACTCCACCCTAATCCTTCGTTTCCACCCACGTCGGTCCCAGCCGTCTAGGCATACACTCATTTCCGACGACAATCGCTTCAATATGTTATAACGTTTACATGCTTTGAGATACCCCCAATAGTCTATTCACGTTACACACACGCTACGCGCTTTTGATATATAGTTATGAATGCTCCAGTAATATCACGGAAGCCGCTTCCAGAAGCAGCCCTGGCGCACTTGAAGGCCTCGCCCATTGACACTACTACAATCGGGTCGAAATTGGAAGCACCTTTACCTTCAGATCAACGAACGAAAGATGCCATTAGGGTCACCGCTCCACGTGAGGTGCCCTCACCTGGCGATAAGTCAATTCACAATGGAAGGCGGTATGGCCTCACATGTGGTATCTTTACTGGTATAAGAACAAGCTCTTTTGCTTCGACACTCTCTCGTCACTACAACAACTTCCAGCCACCACACAAAAGATACTTCAACAACCACATCAACCGCCGTACACTACTCATCATGATCGGCATCACTTTTGTCTCCCTTCTGGCTCTCATCATCGGTCTCGCAGCAGGCTTGGTTATCCCCTCCAAGTGAGTCTTTGTGCTTTGCCTTCTTCCAATAGCCTCAGCTAACAACACCCATAGCAACAATGCCGTGTCTCCAGCCATCGGACCCCTAGCTCAAGGCCAAATGACGTATTACAACCCTGGTTTGGGCGCTTGCGGTCATACTCACGGTGACAACGACGCTGTCATGGCTGTTTCTCACGGACGCTGTAAGTATTGATCTTCGTCAACTCATCTACGAGACACACACTAACACAGTGTTTTCATCAGGGGACGAGGTCAAAACTCCCAACCCCAACGACAACCCACTTTGTGGTAAACAGATTCGAGCTCACCGTGTGGACGAGCGCACTGGCAAGGACGCCAGCGTCCTTGTCACCATTGTTGACAAGTGTAAGTACTCCGGATGGCACACTCCGTCTCACGCCACTTCATATTGCTGTTGCTAATGTTTTGCCAGGCATGGGATGTGCTTACGACGACATCGATGTCAGCCCTTCCGCGTTCGACAAGTTGGCTGATAAAGCCAAGGGCAGGGTCAACGTGGAGTGGTCCTGGGCCTGAGCACTGTCACTTGGTTCGCGTCACACAGTCATGACTCAGGGTTGAGTCGACTGTGACACATTACGGCATTTCCTATTACTCACACACTGGTGTGGCATATATATGCTTTCAAATTCTACTGATGATATACTCTTCTTCTACCTTCTGCTTGATACGTGAGCCTGTTTACGTTGACAGTAACTTTCTATCTTTCGACAATCTACATCTTCCTTGACAGCGCAGTGGCACATGCCATACTGTGCGTAAGTATCCATGCCTCTCGCCAGAAAAAGCAGCGAGTCTTCTTCCAGAACTCTGACAGGGGAGTGGAGCCTCAACATAGGCCGCCCTATTTTCAACGAGGGGATTTCCGAATCGACATTCATTGCGCGTACCGAAACACCAGAAAGCGCACACCAGCCAACTAGCTCTGGAAGAGACCTGAGAAGACCCATATCTTCTGACTGTCACCCCTCACGGAACTCCTCGCGGTGCGACGATCCATACATACCAGATACTTTTGAGGGCGAAACCCTGGCGGGGAACCCTGAGAAACCACTCCCCGAAGTCCCTGTCAGTCCTCTCCAGATACATCTACCATTCCAAGGTTCGAAATTCGACCAAAGCCGGGAGACGGACGACGACCTACCACAGTACGACCACTCAATGGGCCCCAGAGGTACAACCTACGCAAGACGATACAGTACTAGAAGCTCATTTTACCCCGAAACCGAGGACAAGGGTTATGAAGGAGGGGTAGGGCACCTTGAGGCGGGCATGAGAATCTTCAATAATATTACTTCGAACCACTACCCCGCTTCATCACAGCCAGTTGCGAAGGAGACGGAGAGTGAAGCTTTTCAAAGGGACTTGGTCGATGTACCTGTCGACTCCTCAACGCCAGAAGAGTTTGGAGGATCAAGCGACGTGCCCGAAAAACCTGCCAATGGAGCAATGTCAAAGCGGAAACTCCAGCTTTGTTGGGCAACATTTATCCTGGCAGCTCTTGTCGTAGTTATCGGTGTAATCATAGGATCGCTCAGTTACGTAAAGCATGGCAGCGGGGATAACCAAGACAAAGCGACGATGGAAAGCGAGACGTTCAGTGCTTCGTCAACGCCGCTTCTGACGGAGTCACCAGCCTCTGAGAGAGTCACAAATGCCGCTATACCGTCAGAACCCGTTCCGACGAGTGTCGTGGTTGTTTCGTCTTCCATCGAAACGAGCGAGATCCCATCCTCAACGCCTACGCCTACGCCTACGCCTACGCCTACGTCTACGACTACGTCTACGCTTACGCCAACGTCCACTCTCGAGTCCAGCTCAGTACAATCATCGAGTTCCCTCAGCAGCCCGTCCTCCCAATCTTCTAACTTCATGCAAAGTACAGCTGTACTAGAAGATCTTGTTGGGAGGAGCGGCTATCTAGACCAACGTGCTGATGGTTCTCTCCGCTACGATTCGCTTCTGGACTTAGACCAAGGTGGGTACCTTGGTCGAAGAGAGGACCTAGAGGACTGTGAAGATGTTACTATAACAATTACTACCACGTTGACAACGACGATCACGAGTACTATTCGAACATCTAGAATGGTAGCTTCCAGTGCTGGCAGCGATTCAGCTTCGCCGCAGCCGCCAGAGCCCGAACCTGCAGAGACCGGTCCGAAGTGCATAACAAATACCATCTTTCATACTGGTGGTCTGCCCGATTCTACAGCTTCCTCGTATGATACCGATATACCCAGCATGGAAGTCTCTTCTGTTGCCGCCGACTCAACGGCTAGTCCAGATACGACACCTTTACCTACCGAAACCTCAGCTACTCTATCTGCAGGTGAAGAGACTGGAGTCATTTCGACATCTTCCGTTGCGCAAGCGGGACGACTAGCAGCACCGAATCTAGGGGAAAGTCTACGATATTTCCGGCGCTTTTTGCCACTGTTCACTGGGGATGTCGAGCAAAATCGGCATTTGCTTCCTTCTCTGACGATCATACCGACTGCGACAACGAAGAATTATGCCGCGGATAACAGCTACAGTGTGAAGGTTCTGAGTATGACCAGCAGCAATGCCGCGGTGCGTCGAGAAGTCCAGCATTGGAATTTCATGGGCAAACCGAATCCCGCAGTACCTTCGAGGATCCTTGAACGCCGTGAAGTGCCCGCCCAACCACCTTCTCCGCCAGGTTTAGAGGTACTGAAAACGTACTGGAAAGCCTCTTGGGAGCTGCGACTACTATTCATGCAATTGTGCTACTCCCTCAAAACAGAAGCACCCCCGACATCTGAGGATCTCAAGATGGGCGAAACGCTTAATACGACCATATGCGATAGCTTCGAGCAGGATTTCCCAGCAATAAGCGAAGGGGCAAAATGCGACTACAAGGACTATTTCCATAGGATACTGGACAAGACTACGGCAATGTGTGCCTTGGCCAAGGAAGGCGAGAAGTATGTTCAAAGTGTGAACTTGCTTTGCAACGTCAAAAACAGCATGGAAGGGAGTATTGAACAATGCGACGGCGATGACGAAGAAATGCCTAGTCAAGGCGGTGGAGGCGGAAGTAGTTTGTTGCCAGCAACCAGCAGACCGCCAATAGTAGATTCGACTGCTGAGTCGCCGACTGACATTGGCATGACTGGATCCGAATCGTCGTCCATCTTGCTCCAGGCCAATGCTGTCACGAACGTAGATTCGAACACGGGCTTCGCAACTCCTTCAAACATACCAATTAGTAACGCCCCTCTAACGCTGTCCCCAAGTACAGGGACTGGCATCCTTGGCACCACAACAATCATGAGCGCAACGCAAACCCCGCTGTCATCCAACACGATGCCTCAATCTCAGCCGAATTCTTGCCCAGCTGACATTCCAACAATCTCTTACCCTTTCAAAGCAGCTTGGAGCACCCCAATCATAACCTCCTTCCCAGACCCACCGACTATATCCACCTGGGGTCCTGTTTCTGCACGCCTAACAGGTCATAGTCTTGGTCTCTCGGTACCAATCCCATGTGGTTACACATCGAGCTTCGTAGACGATTCCACCGTTCCCAATATCGTGGTACCAAAGACATCGCAGATAGGCGAGATCTCATTCTACAACGGAGACGATGCATACAAAAAGCCGCCAACGTGCCAGAATGGGATGATAATGCATGGTGAGGCCATAGCGGCTATTGGTTGGCAACTGTATGACTGGGGCAGAGGAGGGAGCCTAGAGCAAAAGGAGAATGCGTTGTGTGGAAGAAAGATTATTGCTTCGTGTGCAGGGAATGGGGAGGTTGGATTTGACAGGAAAGAAGTCGAACTTTGGGTTAGAGATCGGTGTGCGGCCTGTAGGCCGATGGACCTGGATGTCCTGGACGACGTGTTCAAATTTTGTGCTCATAAGGATGTTGGAAGAGCGGCTGTTACTTGGAGGTGGGCTGAAGACGGTGAAAGCGTGAGCCCAACAGCTGGCTGATGGTAATTGTCGGTTCTGTGTATCGTGGTGTTTGGTATCATTCTGTAGCTCATTATATGGTCCCATTGACTTGTAATTCGCTATGCAGTACTCCAGTGTCTTGAGATGAGGTCCGCTGGCAGAACACCGCCGTTCTTCTTCATTGCATATACCTTCAATGGCCCGCCTTTCTCATCGTAGACTAGCACGGCTGCGCGCTCCTTCGTACCTGCGACGACCTCCTTTATTTCTGCCAGCAAACTCACCATCTTGCGCAGCCTGTCTTGATTGGCTTCCTCCCATCGGGGGTACTCCTTTTCAGCATGACTGATACTCACCGAGTGCACCGTACCCTTGTCATGGTTGCCGTTCATAAAGTAGGGCGTACGGCCGAACCAAAGCTGCGGTAGTGCTTCTGTAAGACGTGCGGCCTTCTTGGCTTTGATCTCCGCGAGCTTGGACGGGTCGATGAATGTTCCCTTTTCAACGACTACGGTAGGCTTATCGGCGGGAGTCTTTCGAGGTTTAGTTTGAGTTGGTGGCAGGCCTGCAATATTAAGTTGTGCCATAGCAGCGCTCACGGTGCTAACGGGCTCATCCCTAGGCTGTTTAGACTTCGAGTCCAGGACGACACCCGGGTCATCGTAATACGCATCGACTTCAAAACGGACAACGCAGTTCAAAGGGCCGATATGGTACCGAATGACCCTGTGATGACTGCTAGAGTTCCCCATTCCATGATCAGGCATCGTGAAGGTCTTCTCGAAGTTATGTCCGTAGCCCGCGTTCGGTGCACCATGGATCATTTGTTGAGCGTTCCGTTCTTTACGGCTAATAACGAGCGTATTGCCGACCATGTGTAAGCCCATGCAGAAAATGTCCAGTTTCCTCCCAGCCGAAAAATCGAGTAGCTTGCGAAGACTGTTGCGGTTGGCGATGATGTCGACTTGATCTAGCACGACGTCGGGTCCCATCACAGCAAGGGCAGCAAAGGCTGGCTCGAAAGGATACTTGGGTACGCGAGATGCGTTCTGATCGACGAAGTGTCTCCCGGAGTCCTGAGCAAGAGTGGTCGGCAGTGGTGGAGGATTCCATCTCGGGGGTGCACCAGGAACATGGATGGATCCATCATACTGCCAGTTGTAGCTACACAAAGTCTCGAAGCCACGCGCAGACGAGACCTTAGTGGTGTCTGGCTCCAGTGTTGCTGCTTCTATCGTGCGTACGGGCAACCCGGTGGTCTCCCGGAACATCCATGACGTTTTCCAAGAAGGCGCCTGGTGTAGAAGCTGTGCCCGGGGTTGTCCTGCTTTCGCAGATTGAGGCCTCAATCCCTTTGATGGGACTGCGTCTCCTTGAGCTAATATCGAAAGCTTCCCTTTAACGGGTACCTTCACTGTTGCAACTTCTGCTGACGCCAAAGAAGTTGTTACGGGCGGAGATGCTTTCGCTCCATTTCGCCTAGCACGCTCTCTATGTGTGGAGTCAGACTTGAGTGGAAATTGGGGCAAGATGGGCCTACTCACAGTTTTGCAGGACGCGCATTTCGTGCTTTCGGCCGTATAGCATCGTCTTCTTTGGTTACTGCAGTCCCGGCCGTTGTAGGGGGATCGCCGTCATCAAATGCCTCATGGGCTTGTAGCGCATTCGATGCTACTGAACTCTCGAATTCCACTGTTGCTGAATCCTGATTCTTGTGCTGGCTGCGCTTCTGTTAGTTGTCTGTACACTCGTACAGACCAGTGTCAGCGCAATACTTACCGCCTTCTACCACGTTGGCGTTTCTTGATCGGAGCGACCTTTTGACCTGACTTCTGCTCCCCAGTGGCTACTGGGATTCCACCGCCGTCAAGAGCACCTGGTCCCGTAGCGGGAGGCTGAGCCACGGATTGCGACATGTTTAGTGGAGTTGTTGGCTTGTTAAGAGTTCATATGCCAGCGTGACAGAAGTAGCATGCGTCGAGTAGCAACCGTAAGGCAGAACCCGTGTAGCGGGGTAGCTGTTGCGCGCATCAGGATATGCTTGTACAGCCTAAGTTTGAGACTGCCAAGTCTGTGCGCCGTCAGAGTCTGCTGGATTGGCTGAGTGAAGGTGAAGAGAAGTGCGCAGCCTTGGATGCCTATGCATTGGAGAAAGCATCATCGATAATACGCAGGATGAAGCGTGTCCGATATGCCTATCATCCGACCAGTCGACCCTTTACATATGGCAGAGATGTTACTGGAGGCGATGAAGCTGGTGTCGAACAATCTGGGGGGGGGTGTTTGTGGAGGTGCAGGTCTCACGTGCGCAGGCGATAATGATTGGCAGGGTCTGGATCGGTTACGCGTCATTCCTCTCGGAGTCGGAAGCATCCTTCAACTTAATTCCTACGATGCACACGACCATCTCCGGGCTTGGTGCTTCACTTCTACGCTTCTTACTTCCCCCTACTACTTTTAATGTCTAGTTAACTTCTGCACACGTCTCTTGGCCTGTCGCCTCCGCATGCTTGGCAAACCTCCTCCGCCGCAGCGTTAGGCGCACTATCTGCAATGTCGACCGTCTTCGCCTCCCTGGTACGCCCACCCAAGCTGCGACGCGCTTCCGCAGCTACGCAGCCCGCGGCCCAGCCTCCGCCCTCGATCGACAGTCATGGTCTCGACGAGCCCGACCTGCGCGACCTCAATGCCGCCCTGCAAGCGCTTACGGATATCTTCCCCGACCTGCAACCCGAGGTTTTCCGAGAGATGCTGTCTACTTTTAGCGAAGAGAGCAGGCTGCAAGTCGTCACCGAGACGCTCTTGAAGCATGGCGACAAGTACGTGCGGGGCCGGTACAGGAAGCCTGCTGAGCAGGAAGAGCAGCGGGAGACGGCGCAGAAGTACAAATACCGCAAAGAAGACGCACCGAGGGATACTCGAGGCATACCCCTTGCGCTGGAAGAGAAGTTCCGGTCACGACGGTATAAGGAGGCTGCCAAAGAAGCGCTGTATCAGGAATTCAAAGGCCTGAGCCACTCGACCATCAAGGCTGTGCTGGCTGAATACAACTACAGCTATACGCATGCACGACCGACGCTATTGGATCTGTCAACTAGAAGCTGGAGGTCCAGCATCACCAACTTCCTGATGCGCCGGAAGGCGCCGACGGCCAGTGATCACCCCCTGGTCATATGGACTCCCGCCGACGAACGCCTGAACCGTCCGTCTATGCCACTTCTCGTAAAGACTCGAAGCGACGAGCTGAACCAGGAGCTGTACAACGCACTCATTGTACCGGAACATGAGAAACACCGGAACGCGCAATTGCGACAGGACTATGACTTGGCCATGCAATGGAACGAAGAGGAGGCCGAGCGTGAAGGCGAAATGTACGACTGCGAATGCTGCTTCATACCCAACACGCTTCAGCAGATGTCGACCTGCGATATCGATGGCCACTACATCTGCTTCCGTTGCATACGGCATGCTATCAACGCTGCCCTCTACGACCAGGGCTGGGCGCGTAACATCAACACGGACCTGTGTACCCTGAAATGCATAGCGCCTATGACCGGTGGCTCCGAAGAGTGTCGTGGCTGCATACCCTTCTCGTTTGTGAAGCGCGCTCTTCTGGAAGAGCAAGATGGAAAGGACAACCTGAACAAACTCAACGAGCGCTTCGCTAGCGATGCACTGACCAGATCTCAGCTACCACTCGTACAGTGTCCCTTCTGCTCGTATGCGGAGTTGGATGACCTCGCGCTTCCAGATACCAACCTCTTCGCCAGCCTACGTTTCAAATCCCGCCCACTCATACTGGCTTCGCTGGCATCGGTGCCTTTGTTCGAGTTACTGTGCTTCCAAGCCACGCGAGCCTTACTTTTCGCATTTATTTTTATCTACACCTTCATCACCATCACATTTCGCCTGCCCGTCATCGCACCCTTTCGATCCGCCCTCAGGCGTGTCCACCTAAAGCGTCGCGGCCTTCGGTTCCAGTGTCTCTCCCCAAGCTGCGGTCGCGCATCCTGCCTCTCGTGCTCCCTTCCCTGGCATGACCCCCACACATGTTTCTCTTCCCAACTCACGTCCCTTCGTCTCACACTCGAACGTGCTACCACAGACGCAGTCAAGCGTACCTGTCCTCAATGCAACCTAGGCTTTGTAAAATCCGAGGGCTGCAATAAGCTCGTTTGTCTTTGTGGGTACAGCATGTGCTACATCTGCCGACAGGGTCTTGCGAATGAGGGCTATCAACACTTCTGTGGACACTTCCGCGAACGGCCCGGACAGCCATGCGGCGAGTGCAACAAATGTGATCTATACCGCGTAGAGGACGAAGAGAGGGTGGTCAAGAGGGCCAAAGATAGGGCCGAAGCAGAGTGGTGGGAGGCGCAGGGCGATGGTGCGAAAGAAGGACTGCAGAAAGAGGTTGGGAAGAACGAGGGCTCTGCGGCGAAAGGGGTTGCGGGGCTGAAGAGGGGAAATTGGGAAGCCTGGATCGAAGGCGTACTGGATAGTGTGCTTGTTTAATTATTTGCTGTTGGCGTTCGGATGTGGCCACAGACCGTCAGAAAGATTGATACCCAGAATTGATATTGTACAGCGTCCCTCGTGGACGCCATCTTACTTGCAACTCTTTTGATCAGTCCCCGTGATGGCTGTTCTATCGGTAGTGAGATATCCTTCAAGTGACATTACAATTTTCGATATTTGACGTACACATTCTTTGTGCAAGACATGATACATTTATCCCCAGCTCTTCCGGCGGAACGCCTGGCATATACGCGAGAATGGATACTGCATCGATCTTTCTCCCGGGGTCCAGGGTCTACAGAAATGTAGAGCGTTCGTGACAGAGGAAGTGGTGAAGATAAGTGCATTCTAGCGTACACTTCCGTTCTGCAGGGCTTATTTCCGAGATATCGCTCTTACCTTTTGCAGTTGCTAAACATACAAAGTCCATAGGCGCTCACGACGTTGGCTACCGTTGTACCCCTCATCAGGGACCAACACACCACCTTCCTAACGTCACCTAGCGCCCCGCAAGCGAACGGGGAGCGTTATCAGCCGCGATACTATCTCCACTGACATCATCACGTCTACACATTAGCAATCTGCTATCACACGCTGCACTCTTGGCTATTCCTCGGAAGAAAGATCTCACTGTGTCGCCTACGATGCAGGCTAGAGATCTGGGACCTATCGCGCGTTCATCGGCTTGTCGCTACAGGGTTCATGATAAGGGATGCTGGTCGGAAGAAACGATGTTTGGCTGCCATTGAGGACGCAGAAGCGATCTTCGATAGATGCTCCTTGATAGGTAATGCTGTATGCCGGGTATGAGGTCGGCATGCATGTGAGGGGCGACACGGCAATGCAGATGTTGGGATGGTAGGGTACTGGGTTCGTTACATATACCATGTCGCACCACATGCTACATGGAAACTAATCGAGAACAATAACTGCTTTACCTGTCCTCGTCTCTATATCGGCAAGATGAGTATCCCGGAGAAAGAGATAGCCCACGAGTCGAAATCGGGCGACACTTCTCCTTCGCGACCGCATTCGGACGTCGAGATTGGTACCATCGAGGAGCCATCCAACAACGGCGATGAAGCACTCAAGTTTCTTAAAAATGCACACAATGTCGGTGCTCTCACGCCAGAAGATGAGCGAAGACTGGTTCGAAAGATTGACTGGATGATCATGCCACTCATGTGGTGTTGTTACTGTTTGCAGTATCTGGACAAAACACTGGGTATGTCAGCTCTTTGCATTGCTGCATCACTACTCTGCAACCGAACATACTGACAGTTCATACTAGTGAACTACGCGGCGGTGATGGGTCTCTACGAGGACGCGAACATCAACACGGCACAATTCTCCAACCTCGCTCTCTTCTTTTACGTATCTTACCTCGCGCTCGAGTTCCCTCATGGCTACGGCATGCAGCGTCTGCCTACTGCAAAGTACCTCGGTGCAGCCGTGATACTCTGGGGTCTCGTCACGGCACTCACATGTGTGTGTAAGAACTACGGCGCTCTAGTAGCTACACGCGTCCTATTGGGTTGCTTCGAGTCGGCCGTCGCGCCCAGTTTGATCCTGATAACTTCGATGTGGTATAAGAAGAAAGAACAACCGCTGCGAACCGGTATCTGGTATCTCGGAGTTGGTAAGTCCTGGCTGTACGAAATTCATCTGAGACATATACTGACTTCGTACCTCTACCCCTGCAGGAACAGGAACGATCATTGGAAGTCTGATCAGTTTCGGGTTTCAGCACTACGACAGTGCCACGTTTACTAGCTGGCAGATCATGTTCTTGGTCGTGGGCTTGGTTACTGTCTCAGTCGGTATGACTGGTATGTGAATCACTACAACGGGTTTTCGAAAAGGTGCTGACTTAGGTAGTGGTGTTGCTTCTTCCCGACAACCCCATGTCCTCTCGCCTAACCCCAGCAGAGAAGGTATGGGCCATCGAACGCCTACGTGAGAACCAAACCGGCATCGAGAACACGCATTTTAAGTTTCACCAAGTGCTCGACTGTTTCAAAGACCCGCAGACATGGATGTTATCGATCATCACCATATCATCCAATGTACCCAACGGTGCAGTGTCTTCCTACCAGGCCACACTCATCAAGTCATTCGGCTTCAGCTCCAAAACTACAGCTTTGCTACAACTACCTTCGGGTGCCGTCAGCGTCATCTCCATTCTCATCGCTACATACCTCGCCGGTCGTTTCAACCAACGCGCACTAAATGTTGTCTCCTTGCTTATACCTGGCGCGCTGGGAGGCTGCCTCATGGCTTTCCTTCCCGGTGAGTCCAGAGTAGGGAAGCTTATTGGGAACTACCTTACCAACTGCATTGGCTCCAGCTTACCGCTCCTCTACTCCTGGGTGTCTGCGAACATTGCCGGTCACACGAAAAAAGTAACCATGAACGCTATTTTGCTCATGTCTTTCTGCTTGGGAAATATTATCGGACCGTTGACATTCCGCCAAGGCGATGGGCCTGACTTCATACCAGCCAAGGTCACCATTGTAGTGACTTGCGCATTCGCAGCAGCCATGGCGCTGGTATTGAGAGCCTACTACATGTGGGAGAATAAGAAGAGGGATCGAGAGGACGACGGGACGCATCTTGAGAACGAGGAGTTCCTTGACTTGACAGATCGCGAGAATAGGCGGTTTAGATATAGGTTGTAGGAAGGGCAAAGGATAGGTAGCCCAATGGGAAAGCACGAGGCGGTTCAGTACGAGCCTCCTTCTCACACTCAAATCATCGACCATACTGGATTGAACTTCATCGGATGCAAGAAACTTATAAGTTAATCAACGCTAATTTACATGCTACAGTCCACACCACCCTAAGGGGTACCCGCACTACCCCGTAGTTCATTAATGATGATATCCGCCGCCTTCTCACCAATGACAAGTGCCGTGTTATTCGTGTTACCACCCACATTCTCCGGAGGGATACTGAGATCCGCAATCTTCAACCCCTTAACGCCGTGCACGTTCAAGGAGGAATCAACAACACCATCCTCCTCCCTTGATGCCATCTTGCACGTGCCAAGTGAGTGCCACGTTGTGTTGACGTTCTCTCGTAGCCACTGCTCGATGGCAGCATCATCTTCCTTGCTGTAGACCAAGTCCTTGACGTTTTCCAAAGGCCCTTCGACATTCTCTTGTAGGGCGACCGCGGAATCGGCAGCGAACTTTGGATGGCCCGCAGCCAATTCGCCACGGTAGAACTGCGTACGTCGCAAGATCTCGCGTTGCTTCTTGTACGCCCAGATTTGCTTCTTGAGATCAATGTCGTCTTTGTCGTTGAAGAAGCCCACATCGAAGTCTAGTGGGTCATCGTGCTTCGGGCCGGTGATGTGCATGTGTCCGCGCGAGTAGGGATACGCGGTGTAATTGCCTGCTGTGACGTACTGGCCCGCAGGTATGCTTGCTGGGTCGCCCAAGAAGCACGACACCAGACCACACAGCATCAACGGACGGTTTGGCGCATCCTTGAAGTCGCGGTTCCACGCTTCTTGAAACTCTGGTCCGAGAGAAGTGACTTCTTCTTCAGTAGGACGTAGCTTGGAGGATATGTCGATGCCGTTCCAGCCTAGCATGGGGTCTTTGTTCTTCATCATCTCGGCAACGTCGGCACGTCCGCTGAGGATGCCATCGATGGTTTGATCGGGCGCTAGGGCAGTCTTGTAGGGGTAGAGAAGCAGGTGGTGGTCTTGGTAGTCCTTTCCTACACCAGGTAACTCTTCTACGAGAGGTACACCAGCACGTTCAAGGACCTCCTTGGAGCCCAGGCCCGAACGTTCGAGGATGGGTGGTGTACCGCAAGCACCAGATGTGACGACGACCAACTTGCGAGCCTTCACAGCCTTCACAGGATGCATGCTCAGACCAATTTCAGCTTGAAACTCCGGGTTTGGTGTATATTCGACACCAGTGGCACGCTTGTTCTCGTCGAACAGTACGCGCACCACCTTCGATTCGACGAGAACATGAAGGTTGGAATACCGCTCATCCTCAAGCTTCGGGTGGAGGTATGTGTGTGCGGTATCTTGGCGTTTGCCCTCTGGTGACACGTAGCGTTGCCATCGCGCAATACCGTTGTTGTCGTCCAGGTTCTGCAAGTCTTCGATCTCAGGGTAGCCGACCTTCTCAGCTGCGCTTATGAAGTCGTCTTCAGCAGCCTTTGCGCGATAACCTCCGTCTGAGACATGGATTGGTCCGCTGTGGCCGTGGTGCTCTTTCGCTCCGGGTCCATGGTAGGTCTCTAGCTTCTTTAGGTGTGGCCACATCTCCTTAGCTGACCAGCCAGGTGTGTTCCAGCTATCGAAGTCCGATCTTTGTGCTCGTGTGTACATCATGAAATTGATTGAACTGCCTCCGCCCAAGGTACCACCGCAAGGTACAATGGGTTCACGATCGGCTAGCTGCTTCGACTTGTTTCCTTTGTAGAAGAGAGCGGTCTTGGTGGCAGGCAGTAGGTTCTGCAGGTAGAAAACGGGGTTGACAACGCTGGCGACATCTTTGTTGTTCGCGCCCCCTTCGATTACAAGAATAGAGAGGGAGGGGTCATCTTCAGCAAGTCGACCGGCTATGATACAACCCGCTGTACCGCCTACACAAAGATGTCAGTGGGGGATTCGATGAGGGTGAATATGATAGACATACCTCCAGCGATGATGACATCTACATCATTAATGTCGTCTGCAAGCTTGTTGTATATACCCATCATGAAATCTTGTTATGATCTGGGCACTCTGAGAAGATGTTCGGATACCAGATGACAAGACAACTGTCAAGAGTCAGATTTGGGAGTCCAGCAATCCGTTTAAGTAAATGTTCAGTATTTCTTTGCCCCTCGCAAATAAAGTTCGGCCACTTACAGCCCATCACAGACCATTTATCGGATGCCATAGGTTTTTTGTGAACTTGAGTACCGCACTACCCCATCTTCTGCTATTTTCGGCTTGGCGCCGGTGATACTAGCGGACCCTTTCCGCGCATCTAGATGGCGACCCCAAGGCTTAGGGAACGCTACGAGCTATTAGCTCTCACAACAACTGAACGATCTCCCATGCCGTCCACTCAGAATAGCCTTGTGTTTGCGCTATCAGCCATGGTGGTGGTGAATAGCACATCAGGTGTTCTTTCCCCGCATTCGTGAGCCGTAACCTAACGGCGATCATATGCGCCTGTCCGAGAACCGCGGATAACGATTGTGAAAAGAAGGACGTAGAGAGGTACAATCTAGAACGTGTGTTCCACGCAGTTTTTCAAATTTGAGCTGGTGGTGGCGATGTTAGCAAACACTTCATTCGTAGAGCACAAAAGATAAGAGAGATTGTGAAAGAGTGTAACGAGGTATCTTGGAATTTCCGAAGGCCTACTTTCGGATACTTGAACCCTGCAGCCCACTAACACTGCGCATTCGGAACCATGGATCGATACACGGTAACCGCAAGAGTCGATGGCATGTGCAGGCTAAGGCACTAGGACGTAAAGTCCCGGCTTGTTGGGGCGAAAGTTCATGAAAAAGGAAAGCTATCCTCGATCACATCCACATATGGCTGCCTTCTTCAGAAATACGAGATTATAACCGAGTTTTCGCCGTACGACGGTGCCAAGCATCGCATCTTAGAAGAGCCGATCAAGACCCATGTCAAGTATGTTTTGGAACTCGACGCGACGCTTGCCAGCGATACTACGCTTTTTGGGCTTGGCGTCCGCCGCGATGTAGTGCTCGATGATGTTGACGGTAGCGCCCAACGTATGGAAGGGTGCAAGATTGTCGAGCATGAGGTTAGCGCTCTCGTCGTCTTGAATGGAGTCGTGCCTTAGGAGCGCAACGTTAGTGATTGACCGAAAGTAAATCGTACCTTGGGCTGACTTACCAATGAATGACGACCTCTCGCAAGTCTGGCGCCTTCAACAAGATCTCGAATACGAAATTGGAGCGCTGGCGAAGAAGGGCAGGGAAGATGGCCTCGATGGAGTCGGTAGTGTCGGCGCGGATCCAGGCCGAATCCCAAACGAAAGTGATATCAACCTTTCGGATATTCTCCATAGGAGAAAAGGCAGCATCGGTGATCTGGCTGAAGGCCTAAACATTGGTTCACGAAGTCAGTACATGTCACACGTTGATTCATCCAAGGAAATGACTTGCCTCCTCGAAGAAAGACGTGTGAGCGAAGCTACCAGTCGCGTCGATACGTAGGACGGCTACATCGTAGAACCAGTTCTTTGCCTCGTTGTTCAGCTGGCGGGAGGCCAACAGGAGCTGGACCGGCGGAGGACAGTGAGTGATGCGCACGAAGTTCGGTATGTGGCGCCACTTGTTGTGAGGTCGGAATACGGGTGCTGGAGGAGGAGGCTGAGCTGCAACAACTGTAGCAGCAGCGTTACCGCCGTCATCAGCCAAATCTTCGTCGCCATCGCTATCGCCTTCGGCCTCGTCCTCATTGTGTAGGTGGGCACCCTCGGACTCTTCGCCGTTGTCGCCCTCATCCTCGCTGTCACCCTCACCGGCATGTCCTTGTCCAGGTTCTTCCGCTGCCATCCCGTCTTCGGAGTGGTGGTCGGGGTCAACTTGAGCCGTAGCTTGGGCTGGAACGTGGACGCTAGCAGTTGCCGACTGGGTATCGTGCGCGCCGGCGACAGCTCCTTCTACCTCATCGTCCTCATCTTCGCCGTCCAAGTCAGACTCAGACTCATCTTCAGCTTCATCCTCATCATTGACATCTTCCTGATCTGCTCCTTCGTCCTCATTTCCATCTTCGTCTTCGTCCTCGTCCTCGTTTTCGCTGTCCTCCGCGGCATCTTCGTTCTCTTCTTGATCATCCTCCTCACTGTTGTGGTCGCTTACAGCACTCTCGTCATCGTGATCATCGTAGTCGTTGGCGTATACGACGCGCGGGGTGGGACCGTTGGGGTTGTCAATGGCGTCTTGGGCAACGAGTTCCTTGACCTCTTTCTTCTCGAACCAGTAGCGGAGCAGCTTCTTAGGCTTGACGTCGCGCGCGGCCACATGCTCGAAAATGGAGTGTCGCACCTCGAGCGGGAGGTCCATGAAGGCGGGTGCAGCCTTGTCGTTGGTCATGGCGGGCAGTTGGTCGCGCGTGAGTTTTGTAGAATGAGCTGCGCAGGGAGATGTAAGGTAGAGAGGCTTGCGAGCGGGATTGGCAGCAAGCTAGAGAGAGAATACGGGCGAGATCAGGGTTCAAGTAAAGTTGGTGCCGCAGTTGCCTGCAGTGGGCTGCGCGGGGCTTGCAGGCGTTTGTGTAGCCAGAAACGCTGGAACGCGGAGCAGGACCAGAAGTGAAGGAGCGGACGAGAGCCACTGAGGGGCACGCCCAAGCGTCGAGAGGTCCATCATGACCAACAGGGCGCTCAGGTCTGGATGCGTCGTTTCGCAGTCGCTGGTAGCTATGGAGTCGCAGTTGACCCACCGTCGCGCCTTCCCCACGGAGCTTGACGCGCTACGTCAGCCCCTTGCCTGATTGGCTGCAGCCATCTCGCGACTCCCGGCCAGCTTCCACTCCATTAGACTCAATGAACGTCATCCTTTCCATCGCGTGCCACGAGATCTCAGCATTGCCGAAACCTTTACATGGCAGCGCAAGTCCCCAGCCACCAGGGTGCACGTCGTGTATCTCATTGAGATCCTTCCCAGCACAGGAGCAGCCCTACGTATGCATATGGAACATCACGCACGAGAATTCTGTGCAAGGCTTCGAACCGTGAGTCTAATACATGGACACACTCATACGCCTGTAGTGCATCGATGCATCCCTTGTGACATGCTATATGCAGTTCCCGGGCTGCCCGTACGCTCCTTCCGAGTTGCTGACACCACGCTCATCACGAAAGAGCACTTCCGCCGAGCCCTACTACCCTACATGGACAGGACATAGGCTGTAAAAGATGCAGCCGCACTCGAAAAATAGCATTTCTCCTTTAGCACTTGTGTTTACTGGTCCACCTATTGCTGCAGCACGCCCATCCCGCGGACGATGTTTGGGTAACTGGCTAATCGAGGCATGTAGAGGAGGCTGCAAGCTCAAGGCACTTGCCGGTTCTCCAACGAGGAGACTCGAGACTTCCCTGACTATCACGTTTCAGAGTAGGCCTTGCTGTCTTTGGAGCAGGACCGTCGTCAGGTTCAACATGTTCCTCCTTCCTCCACTTACAACAACAGTAAACATCAACACATCATGGAGCAGCAGCACCTCACTGCTGCTGCCCGCCTACAAGCTACGTGCATGCCCATTCTAGAGTATATAATCCCTTCCTCGGGTCTCCATCCTCCATTTCTCTCTCACATCGCAACTCAGCCCAGCAACTCTACCAGCAACTCTTCTACCCAGCTCATCCATCCATCATCCATACCTGAGCCCACCCCATCAACGCATTCCGCAGGCAGAGCTTGGTTACTCCAACCACGACCTACGCCATGCGTCTCACCACCAGTGTCATCGCTGGCTTCATCGCCTTCGGTGCCGCTACGCCTGCCGGCCTGGCAGTCAAGCCAAGTTCCATTGAGGACCCTGTCGATGCTGTCCCAGCCCAACACACTCCCGTCGTGGACGGAAACTGGCACATTGGCTGCGACAAGAACAACTACTGCTCCTACTACCAGGGAGACGACGTGGCTGTTGGCAACACCAACTCAGTGTCTCCTCGTACCATTGCTCTGTCGGAAGCCTCGTGCAAGCAGTGCTCAACTGAGGACCCTTGCGACGTAAGTCTTCCTTATGTCCTCTTCTTTCGGAATAGGACGATCTTTGCTGACATTCTGTCTGGTAGTATTGCACGTCTTACAGTTTCGATTGTCGGGACTGTGACCATTACCAATGTTACGACGCATTTTTGAAATCCCGTGGCTGCTTCGACATCCAACCCGAGCTTGCCGACGTCATCCGCAATCACACAGTGACAGCCACCATCCTCGAGACCACCATCAGCACTTCTGTCGTCACTGTGACCGCCATGCCTACTTCTGAGACGTCGATTTCCGACATCACCACTACCGTCACGCTTGCTCGTACAGCCCTACCCCCGACGCACACTGGTCTGGCCCCTCGCGATGAGCTAGCCTCCAACGATGGCGACAACCAGTCACCTACTCGTCGCACTGCCTTCAAGCAGTCGGAATGCTTCCCTTGCAATGACCAAACTTGCCCAGTACGTTGATTCGTCTCAGGTTTCTTGCCTGTACTCAGCTTGTTAACTTATCTTTCCTCAGGAATGCCACGCCGACTGCGCGGAGTGCGACAAGTACCTTTGCAACAACTTGGCCACTCACATGACGGTGTGCATGAGCGTCCGTTCCAAATGGCAGCCCCCGGGCTTCAACGTCTCTGCTTCCGGACCGAGCGAGACCACAACTACCACTGAGACAGTGGTCATCTCAACTGTCGTTAACCCCACGTCCTCGCCAGTCGTCACCGTCACCGTGCCCGCCCCTGTTACCAGTACCACTACTGTCGTCGTAGCTCCTCAGAGCTCCCCATGCACTACGACTACTACTTCGATACCTATAGTAACCAGCACTGTGACAGTTGTTACTCAGCGTCCACAGACCAGCACCGTGACAGTTATTTCTCAACGTCCACAGACAAGCACTGTGACTGTCGTTGCTCAGCGTCCCCAGATCACCACTGTCGTCGTGACAGCTCCTCGGGTTCAAACCACCACTGTCGTCATGACAGCTCCTCGGGTTCAGACTACCACTGTCGTCGTGGCAGCCCCTCAGATTCAGATTAACACCGTCACTGTGGAGAAGCCGGCTTCCACTGTAATCTACCAGCAACCAGGCACCACATCCATCGTTACTGTACAGAACCCAGCTTCTACTGTCGTCTACCAGCAACCAGGCACAACTTCCACTGTCACCTATCACTACCAGGATCCAGCGTCCACCATCATGCTCCAGCCACCAACTGTTACTGCTTCGCGCTCACCACACGTGCTCGAGATTCCCGTCACTGTGATCACGACCGCGACCCACACCGTAGCCAGGTCAGTTCGTGCCAACCAAACCCCTGCGCCTATGTCTCCCCGCGATAGCATCATCGCCAAGCCAATGTGCGACTCTTGCGACGGCAACCCGGAGTGCGATGTAAGTTGAAGCACCAGTCCATCGTGTGCTCATAGACTTCTGACTGACTTCCGCTACAAACAGGGGTGCGATTTCGCTTGCGACGAAGACCAAGGCTGTGAGCACTTCCTGTGCAAAGACCCTCTCAGCGAAGCGGAGATCTGCATAAGCCTCCTAGAGGACGCCGAGGCGTCCAAAGCATACGACACGTCCATGGCTTCCGGCGATTTCCTTGGCTCCGCCGCGATGCTTCTAGTGCTCGCCGGCGATGACGCCCCTACTTCCAACACAACGACCACCCATTTGCAGCCGGCGATCTCCAACGGAACCCGGCCAGACTTCTCCTTTGCCGATGAGGATTGCTATCTGTGCGAGTCCGGTGATGAGTCTTGCAACGTAAGTCACTGCCTTGCCCACCCACCCCCTGCAATGTTGCATCATCTTCATTGGTACAGTTCGTCGACTAACTCCTCCCAGATGTGCGACTGGCAGTTCACCTGCGGCATCAAGAAGAAGTGCTTCCACAACGGCGCACGCGAGGTTGTCGAGTTGTGCTTCGAGAAAGGCGAGAAGTGCCGTCCTTGAACCGATTCCGCCGGGCATTTCTCTTCGTGCCGACTGAAGCGAGCCATCCTGCGATGCCACGAACCGATGAGGTAGCTGGATTGTCGCTTTTGGCTCTGCTGTCTTTTTGCACGCTTCGTTGGTCGCGTCGCTCCGTTTCACGCTAGTGTGAGCTTGCGCTGGCTTCTGCCATGTTCTTTCTCCTGTTGTTTCTCTTCCCCTTTGTTGCTCCGCGTTAGTAGTTTGTAGCTTCTTCTGAATACATTACATCCCCTTAATTTCTGAGATACTTGCTTCCTTGTTGATGTATACTCACCGATCGCATGTTCTGACTACTTGCTTTGCAACTTGCCGATAGAGTCCGCGATGGTCAGTCGTTCTCAAAGAGGCCGCTCACTCGACTCATGATTGCTTCAGTGACACTGTCCTGCATTGGAAGCGTGCATGCAATTGACCGATACACTTACAATCGGCACTGGGTGACATAAGACCTGGCAGAATGCCTGTCATGAAAGCCCCCAGGACGCATATAAATCGGACATACGATACAGTTGTACATTCTTTGTTCTCACTTTCTGTAACGCATACCCTTTTCCTAAGTCGAAACTTCATCTAGTCAAGGGGATTGCAGAGCCATTTCACTCAACCCCAGACCAAGTCAATTCTCTCGCCCTTGACTTTCGAATTGAACCACTCGTAGATCTCGACGTCACTCTGTACTACACGTGCACCATCAAGAACTCCGCTTCTACCCAGCCTCTCCGTCGCGAATTGTAACTCCATGGTTGCCAAATTTCTAGCGATGCACGCTCTGCTTCCTGCGCCAAATGCGAACCAGTACTTCGACATAGCTTCTGTTGGATTCAGCCATCTTTCAGGCCGGAAGCTCCTTGGTGAGGGAAAGATGTCCGGGTTGAAGTGCAGCTCATATGCTGAGCAACCGACAATGGCACCAGCTGGGAAGTAGGTGTTTTTGAAAGTCCAACCTCCTGCAGGGACCGTATGAGGTAAGCGCGTAGGATTTGCCATGCTAATTCGGAGGCCTTCTTTGACAATAGCGTTGAGATAGGGTAGCGCTTGAACGTCCTGCGCATCTGGACCAAGGGCAATGTTGTTGTTAACCTCATCCTTTAGTCTTTCGTACATGTCTGGGTACAACGCCAAATTGCGCATGATCGTTGCCAAGTTCATCCCCGTAGAATCTGTCCCAGCGAAGATGAGGTCTTTGCACTGTGCCTTGACTTCGGAGTCGCTGAGTCCCGCAGCGAGTAGACGCCCGGGGTATGTTGTTGACTTCTCGGAGGTATTTGCTACCAGTGTGCCGATGAACTTGTCAACAAGCATCATGCTATCTTCAGTCTCTGGATCGGGCAACCATTTGGCAACGGCCCATTCCAACCACGTGAAAGCGAAATTTGGGAGGTAGAAGAAGCGGCCGACAGCGACAAATGCGTCCACGAACGCGCTCACGCTGAGCACTGGACCGCGTTCGCTGACCCCATCGTAATTCTCCCGGAACAGGTGCGTAGAAACTGCGTCCACAGCCAGGCTTCGCGTCAAGTTGAGCACGTTGACAGGCCGCTTTGTCATGGCTTCGTCCCTCAATCGCTCCACCATACGATCGACGCATCCCCAAATTGCTCTCTCATTTTCCCTTAATGCTTTTGTTGAGAACAGCGGGACCACAGCTTTCGCTCTTGGGCTCCTGTAGTCCGTGTCGATAGTGGAGAAAATAGTCTTGTGGCCATCAATATCGAAATTTGCATAGCACGCCGCTTTCGGAAAGCCTCCTTTCGATACGTAGATTGCAGGTACAGCATCCGCGTCGCTTATATCGACTTCGTTCGGTGAGACTCGGACATACGGGCCGTATTGTCCGTGGAGTTTGTGAATCGTGCTTGCTTCGTCTCCGATGTAGGCGTGGTAGTGAAGGAAAATGCTGGTTAGCTTAGGTAATACGGGTCCAGGGATGTGGGATAGAGGATGGAAGTAGATGCGATATACTGAACGGATCAATACAAGCAGGAAAGGCGTGAAGAACAAGGCTGTTATGGGATGAGCCGATATCGCGCCAACAACGAGGCTTTGAAGCGCCATCGGAACTTCGAACAGCTGAACGGCTACATTGACGATCTGGCAGTCGTCGTGTCTTTTATGTGAGTCGTGGTTGGTTGAGTCACCGTAGCGTTAGTGGGGTGCTATCAACGGCGATCATGGAGATAAGGCGTCATCCACTCCCACTTTGGACTCTCCTTGACATTGCAGAAACTAGGACGCATTATACATTATTGCTCTAGGTAAATACATGTAGTCTAAGTTCCCCTCATTATTACTCATTTTCGTTCCCTTTGATGGTGCCGGCGCGATCAACCCGCGAAACCCGCTAACAGCAAGCACATCAAACAATGTCCCTTCTTCTTCTACCTGGCCATCTAACTCAAATCACTGGCCCTACCATCCTTGGTCGAAGGCGTCAACTCCACGTCCGCTGTATCATCAGCCATCGCACCCTTCTTCGACCTCCTCCACTGATGTACAGCAATGCAACTCAGCAGGGCCATTCCCGCATGTAAAAGGCCCAGTAACCCCTGGAATCCCACCTCAGCATATCCAAGGCTATCCCAATACGACTTGTTATAAGTGTTACTCTCATCGTTGTAGATGATGAGCGTGTGTAGAAAGCAGATGGCCCCATAAAGACACACCATGACCAAAGATACTGTGAGAGTAAGGATGGGATGGAACAAATTTGGTGCGGAGGCTGAAGATGGTATAGCCACGAGGCTGAAGATGGTGTAAATGGTATCTGGGATCATTGCGAACCCTGTGCGGAAGAACCAATCATTCCTAGATACAGAGTCAGTCCGCGCTTTATTCGATCGGTCCGACTTTTGGAATCTTGATAGACTATGTGCTGTGACTTACGCATAGCTTTGCCAGCGGGGGTCGTTGTCGCGATCGTTAAATCCGTACTTGAAGGAAGCATTGTGGGAAATGATGATGATGATAAAGACAAAAAGAATAAATGCCTTTACGAGAAAGAGATGGTGATGGAAGCGTTGAGGTCCTTGCCAAAGTGGACTTTGAGGACGAGTGAAAGATGCCAGGATGCCCATGTTTGGAGGTACTTTAGTAACGCGTAGATGAAGCTGTGGAAGAATCTCGGGAGTGCAATATATCAATACTAATAAAATGAGACGCGAGATTGAGTGGATGTGTTCTCACTATAAGTACCTCTACTTAGCAAGGCGCAAAAGAGAAAGTTGATCAACACACAGGTCGCCTTATCGTGGCGCGTACCTTCAACGCAGGTCCCGTATCTGTGCACTTGACGTCTCAGCCTGATGATCACTCCGCAATTCCTCGACTATCTCGAAGATCGACCCAAGGGCAAAATAGCTGGGTTTTGTTGGTTGGTGTCAAACACAGCCTACCATGCCAAGTTCGGGCTGTGTTGCCGGTCAAGCATAGGTACCGTAAGCGAGGCGCGCCACTAGAGGAAGATGTGTGAAACTAGCTCGTGGACACAGTACAAAAGAATGACGCAATCATCGAAACTACTTTCGCAAGGTGGAACTCAAACGGGGGGTTATTCGTGATATTGAATGCTCGACTGGAGCAACAGCCTACGGGCCGATATGCGGCATTTATGCAACATCCTGGGCTGGAAAACCCCATACATGCCCACTCCAACAACACGGCATGGTGGTGACGGATCCAGTGATGATGTGCAACGTTGACGGCATCCAGCTTGTCTCAAAGATGAGAAGTCTAGTTTTCAAGATGAACACCTAAACATGCGTTAACTCGGAGATCAAACTCGCGATTGCACAAATGCTTACTATCAACATTGTTGTTGTAGATCATGTTGGTGTTGTTGTTCTTGAGGTAGCAGTTCTGGTCAAACCAAGTAACGGCAACACATCCTGTTGTAACAGAACACACGTCCACACACTTGGTCATGGACTCGGTTGACTTGTAGGCAATGTCGCCACCATAGTAGTCCCAGTTGCACTGTGCAATGAACGGCTTCTGGTTCGCAGTGGTGTACCTGCACTTGTCATCGGTAGGGCAGTCGATGACGTCGGTGCATGTCGAGGAGCCAGGCGCGGGCTCTGCGATGGTCGGGCCCTTGAGCTGATTGCCGGTGGACACGTTGGTTCTGCAGGATGAGTTGGAAAGTTGTTGGCAATAGATGGACGTGTTAGAGACAAACTTACGCTGGCCGGGCAGTACCCTTGGGGTTGCCCAGAAGGTAGCAGAAACTTCCCTTCATGTTGAATGCGACGCAATCCTTGTGTCGAGAGCAAGCATCTGCGCAGTCGACGAATACATCGGCCTTCAAAGGTGTGAATAGTATTCTAGTCTTCTTCGGGATTCTCACGTACCTGGGCGGAGTCGATGATGGGGCCGTTGTAGTCGGTCGCACAGGTGAGCTGGAATACAGCACCGTTGGTGGACGTAGATACGCAACCGTTCCAGCGAGGGCATGTAGGTATAGCGGGGCAGTTTCGCATCTGGCGCGGAACCAGTGCAGAAAGTGCAGCCGTCGAAGCGATGAGTGTATAGTGCTGTGGCATGGTCAGTATAGCTCATGGAATCGCGCATGTAGCCCCGAAATCGCTGCTTGGATACAGATCCTGTATTGCGGCTTGTCCAGGAGTGTTGAAACTCTGATTTGAACGGAAGATATGCGGCATGGCTACAGAACTGGACAATTGTGACTTACCATCTTGAATAGTGGTTAGGGTTGGAAGGAATGAATGAGTGAGTATGAGCCGGAAGAGAAAAGGGTGGGATGAAGAGATATGGGCTACGGAGAAGCCTCAGACCGTATCTGTCTTGCGGTTGAAGCTAATAGTGATGCGGGCTTCGTGACGAAGAGTGTGGGGTATTTAGAACTGATACCATGGTCCGGTGTCGCCTACAGCAAATGACAGGTCTTCGGATGTGAGCGATAACAACGACCAGACCCTGACATGTTCTTGTGATCGTAAAAGCTTATATTCTCCAATCAACGA